TCAGCCGAGAGCTGGGGTGGGGTGGGGCTGACCGCACAGGCGGCGGCAGCAGCAGAAGCAGCAGCAGCAGCAGCAGCAGAGCAGCAGCAGCAGCAGAGCAGCAGCAGGAGCGGGTGGGGGGGCCCGCCACTCCACGCCCACCACCCCAGGCCACACACACACACACACACACACACACGCCACACGCCGACACACACACCGACACACCACGCACGCGCGCGGCCTCACCGTCGTTGGGCGGGCCCATGTACAGCATGCGACCGTGGCCCATGAGCACCACCTGGTCCAGCGAGTAGAAGACGTCGCGGGAGGGCTGGTGCAGCGAGGCCAGCACCACGCGCCCCGGCGCCGCCACATTCTTCAGCGCCCTCATCAGGTTATCTGCCGTGTAGCTGTCCAGCCCGCTGGTGGGCTCGTCCTGCGGGCACACAGCGGGCGTGGGCACGCGTAAGTGTGCGTGGTACGCGCGCGCGCGCGCGCGCGCGCGCGCGCGTGTGTGTGTGTGTCGGGTGGTGGCGGTGGCACGGCGGCGTGGCCGGTGGGCGACCGCAGGCAGGGTGTGGCTGGCAAGCAGTCCACCATGTTGCCTGGCCGGCATGCGAGGCGACGAAGCAGAGGGGCGGCCCAGGCGGCAGCCACGGCTCACCAGCACCAAGATGGATGGGTCTGTCACCAGCTCCATGCCAATGGTGACGCTGCAGGGGAGGGCAGCAGGGCAGGCGCAGCAAGGGAAGCATGCTCAGCATGCGGCACACCAGGCCCTGAGGCAGGCGGCCCGCCGCAAAGCCACGAACGGCAGCCCAATGCCGGAAAGGCGCGGCTGTGCAGGGCCTGGGGCGGGCGAGGGCCCAGGGCAGGGCAGGCAGGGGCAGGGGCAAGGGCGGGCAGGGGCACGCACCGGCGCCGCTCGCCGCCGCTGACGCCGCGGATGCCGCCGCTGCCTCCGACCTGGGCATCTGCGATGTGGCGCAGGCCCAGCTCATCCAGTACACGCTCAATATGCACCTGCACAGGGCATGTGTGTGTGTGTGTGGTGTTTGGTGGATGGAAGTGCAGTGGACGGTAGCGGAGTGGGAGGTAGCGGAGTGTGCGTGTGCGCTGTGCCCGTGCAAGGCGTGAGTGGCAGGGGCAGGGCAAGGTGGCGGGGGTGGCGGAATGGGCAGCGGGCAGCACATGTGGCGGGCAGCGTGCCTGCAAGTCCAGCGGCGACGTGTTCTGTGGCAGGCGCAGCAGCGCGGAGTACCGCAGGCACTCCTGCACCGTCAGGCTGGGGATCAGCACGTCGCTCTGAGGCACGTACGCCACCTGTGACTTGCGGCGCCTGCAGGGGCACGGTGCGGGGGGGGGGGGGGGGCTTCAATGCTGCCGCTGCTGCTGCTGCCGTTGGTGGTTTTGGTGGCGGGGAGGCGGCTCGGGAGGCGTGCTGTGATGGTGGTGGTGAAGCAGGCCAGAGCAATGTCTCGATGCAGTGCCTCACCTGGCGCCATCCACCTCCACCGCCCCGGTCAGCACAGTGCTCCTGCCCAGCTCCATGGCGGAGCCTGCGATGCTGCCCAACAGCGTGGTCTTGCCGCAGCCTGCGGCAGGGGGAGCGCCGGGGAGCGGAGGCGGTGGAGGCAGGCGCGCCTGCCGTCCTCCGGAGCAGCCGTGCGCGCTCACATGCGCCACCTGCCCCGCCCCCGCCCTGCCTGCGTTGGAGCAGCAAGCGGCGCGCCCGGCGCGGCACAGCGCAGCGCAGCGCGGCGCAGCGCGGCGCCCTGGAGCTGCTGCCGCGGCCAGCTGGCGGCTGGCGGCTCACCTGAAGGGCCCAGCAGCCCCACCACCTGCCCGCCGTGCACGCTGCCGGAGCAGCCGCGCAGGATGTACCAGCGGTCCGGGTGCTCCTGGGTCTGGTGCAGGCCCACCACAAAGTCGGCGGCCTCGCCCACGGCTGCAGCAAGGCCGGGGGTGGTAAAATCGGGGTGAGGTGGAGGCGGGGCCGGCAGGCCGAGGCGTCGCGTGTGTCGCGCGCATGGGACCCCGCCGCCGCTCCCTCCCTCCCCTCCTGCCCGGCGAGTGCCCGCCTCCCTCCCCCGCGCACCCGCCTCCTCCTCTGCCGAAGCGGTGCGGTCCAGGTGCGGCCCGCCGCTGCCCGCGCGCTCCACGTCGCCACCTGCGCCGCCAAACCCGAGCGGCACGTGCAGCTTGTGCTTGGCGGCGGCCACCAGGCGCAGCAGGCCGCTGCCCTGCTGCTCCGCCAGCGCCGCGCCGTGGCTGGCCGAGCGGTGCATCGCCTTGCGGCGTAGAGCCTCCGACTTGCGCGCGGCCTCCTTGGCGTTCAGCGGGACGCTGCGGCGGTGCAGCGGCGGGAGCCGGCGGGCGTCACACGCGTGCAAGCAAGCCAAGCAGAGGGAGCCGGGCAGGCAGACGCCCCAGCCTGCCGCCCGTGCAGCAGCAGCCGCAACCCCTCGACCACTCGACGCCGCCGCCAACCACCCGAGCGCCTGCTCGCCGCGGCACACGGCCCTGCGTCAGCGGCACGCACGGCTCTGCGCACCTGACGGTCAGGTTGTCAAAATCCAGCACTCCGACCTTCTGTGAGGCCAGCGCCGGCTTGGCCGCCAGCTCCTCGAGCTGCGCCAGGTCAGCGGGGCTGATGGCGTACCCCCACATGCTGCGCTGGCTGTAGGTGTAGGCGCCCGTGGCGACGGTGATGAGCAGCAGGACCATGAGCGGTACCGCGGCGATGATGGGGTTGGTGTCCAGGCTGCTGCTGCTGGCCTCGGCGGCTGCGGCGGCGCAGGCGCACGGGCACGCATGAGCAGGTGCCGGCTGGCAGGCAGAGGCGGGCGGACCAAGCAGGCAGGCAGGTAGAGGCAGGCGGAGCAAGCAGGCAGCAAAGGAAAAGGCAAGCAGGCAGGCCCCAGCGGCGCCCAGCCCCGGCGCCAGCCCTCTGCTCACTAGAGTTGCTGTTGGTGTCCAGCTCTGTGTCTGTGGGCACCAGGCACTCGCCCGCCTGGCAGGTGGCGTCCAGCTCGCTAATGGGCAGCCCCTGCAGCACGATGGTGCAGTTGCCCTGGGCGTCGCAGTTGAGCTGCGCCTCGCCGGTGGCAGACCCGATCAGGCTCTCGATGGTTGCTGCGGGGCGGGGCGGGGGCAGGGGCAGGGGAGGCAGGGAGGGTGGGTGGCCGACGGGAGAACCAGCAGGCAGCAGCAGCAGCAGCTGCAGCAGCAGCAAGAGCCCGCCGCAATGGCAGCAGCAGACAGAGGCTGCCGCAGCGGCAGCGGCAGCGGCAGCGACGCGCGCGGCGGCGGCGGCGCCTCACCGGAGCCGCAGCCGGCGACGTCGCAGTCGCAGTCTGTCTTGTTGCACCGCACTTGGCTGGAGCCGGCGGTCATCTCGCAGCCTGTGGCCACGCAGTTGACCCCGACGGCAGGGTCCTTGACCCTGAACCCAATCTCGCACCGCTCCTGCTCGGCCGCTTGCAGCAGGCCGCGGCGGCGGCCGCCGCCGTTGGCACCGTCGCCGCCGCCGATGGCGCCGACAATGTCGCTGATCGCCCCCGGCAGCGTCAGGTTGCCGGGGGTGACCGGCGAGGTCGCCGGAGGCGGCAGCCCCGCCGCCGGCGCCGGCGCCGGCGTGGCTGACGGCGCGGCGGGCGCCGCGTCGGGCGCGGCGACGGGGCTGCCGCCGCCACCGCCGCCGCTGTCTGCCTGCGTCAGCTGCTGCCCCGCCTGCAGGCCAGTGTAGCACTGCACCAGCAGGGTGCCTGGCACCAGCAGGTCGTTGAGCAGGCCGCTGCCTTTGAGCTCGCAGCTGTACGACTTATGCACCGAGTTGGGGGCAAAGGTGAGGTTGCGGCTGCACTTGGCCTCCTCGTCGCCCAGCCCCCCATTCTCCTCGGCCATGCAGGAGTAGTCGTTCTTGCACAGCTTGCAGCTGTTGCCCTCCCAGCCGTCGGGGCAGGAGCCGTCGGCAGGGTGCGCCGGCGAGGGCGAGGGTGAGGGGACGGGCTGGGGAGGCGGGGAGGACGAGGGCGCGGGGGAAGGCGCCGCCACGGGGGCCGGAACTGCGTGGGTCAGCAGGGTGGCACGTGGGGAGGCGGGCGTGAGGCGGCGGGCACCGCGTCGGTTTGCCTCGGCGCCTGCTGGGCGGGGGCATGGCACGAGGCTGCGGCGGCTGCGGCTGCGGCGGCTGCGGCCCCCACCTGGCTCGGCCCCGCCGGGGGCCAGGCACTCTGCCGCCTGGCAGGTGGCGTCGATCTGCCCGACGGGCAGGCCGGCGATTTTCATGACGCAGCCGCCGGTGGCGTTGCACGCCAGGCTGGCCTCCCCGCTCACGCTGCCCGCCAGGCTGGCGATCAGGGCTGCAGGGGCAGAGGGCGCCGGGGCCAGGCAGCGGCATCATGAGCATGCGGCGAGCGCCGAGTGGCGTGCGTGCGTGGCAGCGAGTGCCCAGCTTCCGCCAAGGCCACGGCAACAAGCAACAGCACGCTGCGGAGCAGGGGGAGCGGGCAGGCGGGGCGGCCGCCACTCACTGCTGTTGCCGCAGCTGGCGTCGCCGGGGCAGGAGCAGGTGGTGGCGGCGCACGTCAGGCTGCTCTGCCCCGCGGCAAAGGTGCAGCCGGAGGCGGCGCACTGGACCGCCACCCGGGGGCTCGCCACCACGAAACCGATGGAGCAGGTCTTGTTTGCGCTGCACTGCACCAGCAGGCTGCCCGGCTCCAGCAGGCCGCCCAGCAGGCCGCCGGGCGGCAGGCTGCAGGCGAAGGACTTGAGCTGGGTGTCGGGGGCAAAGGCGAGGTCGGAGGAGCAGGTGGCGGCGGCGTTGCCGGTGGCGGCGGCGCAGGCGGCGTCGGTCTGGCACAGCGCGCAGCCGGTGCCCCCAAAGCCCTCGGGGCAGGTGGCTGCAGGGCCGGGAGCAGCAGGCGGGGCACCGAGTCAGGACGGGGGCTCAAGGGACGCGCCACCCCCGATCGCCAGAGGGTGAGCAGACTTGGTTGTCACTTGTGGCGGGCGCAGCGCTGCTCACCATTCTGCTGTGCATGTGCACAGCTCGAGAGCAGCGCCAGGGCCAGGAGCAGCGCCGCTGGCCAGGCGGTGTGACGGCCAGCCATGGTGTCGGCACGCTTGAGCGCCTCAACTGCCGTTTATTTTCAATGCAGCCCGAAAGTCATGTGCCAGTAGTTCAGCTTCGAATTTGGTGCAATACTGGTGTTGCCTCGGGGTGAGCAGAGCGGCCACTGGAGCAGGGCTAATGTGCTTATTATTGCCCGGAACCAACCCTGGAGCAAAGCAAAGCACGTTGGACTGGGTCCAACGTCGGTTTTGAGAAGTTTTGGACGCGTCCAGTGCGCGCGTCCCACCAGCACTCACCGCATGGAGCGCAGTTGATGGAGCCGTTCGTGGGCCGCGGCCCCTTACGCGGCGCTTCTGTGGGAATTGTGACGTCATGGGCATTTCGATCACCCACCGCGGCATCAATTGTTGAGCAGTACCCGCCGCCAGTTGCCAGCACCTTGCCGCCAGTGCGGCCGACTTGTTCCACCGGCATTTGCAATTTGCGCCAGCAGTTACATCTGCAAGAAGCAAGCGTTCAACTGTTCACAGCAGCTCCTGCAGCTGCAGCGGCTCCTGCCCCGCCGCCGCCGAGGGCGCCCCCGTCTGCAACAGCTCCCGCAGCCGCGGGCTGATGCGCTTGGGTTTATAACTGCTGTCCAGCGATACAACCACCGCCTCGGCGCTCAGCACCAGCTGCTCCTCTTCTCCTGCCGCCGCTGCCTGCTGCTGCCCGGCGCTGCTGGCGCCATTGTGTGCTGCCACGGAGGCGCGGGAGCGGCGGGGCAGCAGCCAGAGCTGCTGCTCAAACACGAGGCGGGCGGCGGTGGTCTTGACGACGCGGCACGTGCCACGAAAGCGGTCCCCCGACCGCAGCGGCCGCAGGTATCGCATGTTGAGCTCTGCACCAGCAAATTTTCAAATGATTGGGAACTGGTCTACCGGCGGCACGTGGCAGCTTAGACGCAGCAAGCCAGGAGCGCAAGGTGGCCCAAGGTCAGCGCACCACACGCTCACCCGAGAGCGCCAGCGCGTCCCCCTGGCGGGCCACAGCATCTGCCGACACCCCCACATGCGTCAAAAACTCATGGCGCACTGCAACAGGACCGGGGAGGCAGGCTCAACGGGCACGCTGCGTGCACCGATCACACATGAGCGCCCGTAGACGCGTGTGCTGGCCGAGCGCAGCGGAGCGCACCGTGCTGGAGGTAGTTTGCATAGCACGCATTGTTCACCACGCTGTACTGGTCCAGCTGCAACCAGGGAAGTGAAGGAGTGACCGAACGCAGCGGGGCAGGGCATGCACCGTCCAGTTGCAAGCAAGCAGGAGCGTGTGGCAGTGCCCTTGGTGCAGCGGCTGCACGGAGCATGCGGGCGGCGGCGTAGACCTGCACCGCTGCTGATCTGATCTGACTGGTTTTAGTGCACCAGTGCCCACCCACCTCATAGTCGCGGACAGCCATTTCGCAGGAGAACAGGAATGGCTCAGGGCTGCCGCTGCCGCCTTCCGCCGCTACCGCCCCACCCGCTGCCGCTGCGGGCGCATTACGCTGACGTCGCGTAAATGACCGCCCTAGGTGTGCTGCTGCATCTCTGGGCCTGCGGTAGGGCCGCAGCGCTCGACAAGCCGTGGCATTCGATCGGTATGTGGCCTGCTGGGCAGGGGCGACGCTGCTAAAGCTGGCACGCATTGTGGTCGATGGATGGAAGCCCAGGGGTTGTGCAGCGGAAATGGAACAAGACGGAAACACACGTGTGCAGCAATGAAGCTGTGCCGGTTGCTGATCTGCTCTGCCCCATGTCTCTCTGCATGTCTCTGCAAGAGCCCCCTGACGATGGCAGGGCAACCGTGTGCCTGTTGCTCCTCTCGGGCTTGCCGGGCGCCGGCAAGACCACCCTGGCCAGGGCCCTGGCACAGGAGGCGGCGCTGCAGGGTGTCGAGGTGCGCCTCGTGTGCTTCGATGAGCATGGCTACCAGCCAGGGAGCGGCAGCAGAGGCGGTGACGGCGGCGGCGGCAACGAGCCAACAGGCGATGAAGACGCCTTCAGTCCCCAGGCCTGGCGGCTTGCCAGGAGGCAGTCCCTCAACCAGCTGCAGGCAGAACTTACCCTGGATATCACAGGGCAGCGCCAGCAGCAGCCCAGCACTGAGCACGGCGCCAGCACCAGCGACAGCAGCAGCGCCCCCATGCTGCCACACCTGTCAGGGCCGCCGCGGCCTCGACAGCAGCCACCGCAGCTCCCCACTAGCCGGTACCATCGCTTGGTCATAGCAGATGACAACATGCAGTACCGCAGCATGAGGGGGCAGTGCTACGCACTAGCCCGGGCCGCCGGCGCCGCAGTCGTGTTGCTTTACCTGGAATGCAGCAAGCAGCTGGCACAGCAGCGCAACGCGGCGCGGCCGGTGGCGCAGCGTGTGCCTGCCGCCACCATCAGCCGCATGGCGGCCCAGTTTGAGGCAGCCATCGGCGGCTGGGAGCAGCGGTGCTTGGTGACGTGGAGCAGCGAGGGGGCACCTGGGGTGACAGCTCTGTGGCGGCACATCTGGCGGCTGTGGGGCCCGCCTGCACCACCACCGCTCGATACCGAGGCAGCTGCGGCGGCCAAGGCGGATGCGCAGGCGGCCACCGCTGCCAGCCAGGCGCATGCCGCCGACCTCGCCACCCGACGCGTGATGTCGCAGTGCATGCAGCGGCTGGGGGTGGCGTCTGCGGAGCACAGGGCCGCAGCAGCGCAACGGCTCAACACAGCACGCCGCCGGCTGCTGGAGCAGGCGCAGCAGCGGGCGGAGGAGGCGGCGAGCAGTGCTGAGGGTCGGGCGCCTGAGGCGGCTCACTGGGCCGCCGCGTTTCAGCGGGAGTGCGAGGCCATTCTGGGAGAGGTTGGCTAGGGAGCTGTCTAGGTGCTGGCTTGTGGCAGTCAGCCGCATCACGAGCTCCAGCGACACTCTTCCTCGCAGCCGTGAGCAGCGGCACACCCGAATGCTGCCACTACTTTCAAAGCAGCTCGCCCACTGCCAGCAGCAATTTGGTGAGTGTGCAGGCCGGGTAGGGCTGGCTGTTGGGCGCCGCCCCGCGTCGATGCACCTGCAAGCATTATGCATATGGCTGTTGCGATGTCCCCAACTTTCTCCCCTGCCCTGCAGCTGCATCTGCCCACGTGGCATCCTCGGCCTGCCGGGACCGCCGCCACCAGTGATGGCTTCCATTTCCGCAAAGAAACTCATTGCTCTGCTTACACGCTCTCCAACAAATTGGCGGATCAGTGCACTGTCTTGATTGCTATGAATTAAAGGCGAAGCAATGTGAAAACTGCAGTCAGGAGAGAAGTCGAACACTCCACAGTTGGTCACTCCACTCCAGCTGCCGCTGATTGCCCGGCCGGGGCTGTGGTGGAAAGGAGAAGAAGCTCGCCGGGCCTGTCCCTCAACCCCCTCCAACCTTGCCATCCATGCCGTCCAGGAAGCCTCCGAAGAAGCCGTCTGTGGGTGGCAGCTGGGCAGCCATGATGCCCCAGGGGGGCGCACCGCGGCCGCTGCCCCGCACCCGCCCATCTAGGCGCAGGCTGACATACAGCCCGCCATCCAGCGTCTTGTTGGCCAGCTTGGCCTGCTGCTCAAACCAGCGGCGCCAGTCGTCCATGCGGATGGCGGTGGCTCGCCACCTCAGCTCGTCGGCGCCAGGTGGCGCCAGGCTGGCCGCCGCCGCGTCGCCACTGCCGCTGCTGCTGCCCTCGCCACCCTCGGTGCTGGTGCCAAAGGGCAGCGGCACCACAAGCACCCCCCGCTCCTGCAGCTGCTGCTTGTAGGGCTCTGCGCCCGCGAGCGCCGCCGCCACCTGCTGCGGCGTGCCCGCCATCAGCACCACCCGCGCAAAGCCCCTGCGAGCCAGGCACGGCCAGGCTGGTGTACACTGTTACCACCGACCAGTCGGGCAGTCGCAGCAGTGCCGCACCAGCCAGCTGCCAGCCAGCCTGCCGACCGCTCTGCTGCCCGCCCAAGCGACCACACGGCGCCCTAACCCCCACCTGAGCTGCGCCAGCCGCAGCACGCGGCCGTTGGCCAGCTCCAACTGGCAGGCCCCCAGCTCATCCTCCCGCATCAGCCGCGCCATCTGGATGTCCCTGGCCTGCAGGTCCCGGACCACCAGGTACCCCAGCACGCTCACGCTGCCGACCTGCAGCAGCACGCATTGCGAAGAGGTGCGCCCCTTTGGAAGTTTGAGCCCTCAAACTCGCAGACCGGCGGAAGGCGCCAAGCACGGCGATGTGAAGGGGAAGAGATCTTAGGTGTGGGCCAGACGTACGTTGATGGCCAGATCTTGCAAAGCCTCCGCAATCGACTTGGTCGCCCCCGGGGCACCCGACAGCGCGCCGATCAAGCTAGGCAGGCCAAAGAGCGTGGCCAGCGCAGCCGACGCGGCGCCGGCACCAAACAGGAACAGGCGCAGCGAGCGGAAGGGCGCCTCCGCCTCGGCACGCAGCGATGCGCCCTCTTTGGACGGCGCCCTGCAACCCAGGCAGGAAGCGTGCAGCCCACTTGACAGCGGCGGCGGCAGCGGCCCATCCCGCCCCCGCCACTTGCAGCTGGCGCTGTCGGCACTGCCGCACGCCCGCGCTACGGCCATTTACCTATAAGTGCTCATGGGGTCTGTGGCAGCGCTCCTTTGGGCAGCCTTCTTCTCGGCAGAGGGAGGCTGTGTTGCCCTCCTCCTCCGGGACTGCTGCGGACTGGCAGGTGTGAATGCGCGACATCCATTTTTCAATGGAGCCTGCAGCAGCACCGCCGACTGGTTCATGGAGGTCTGCGCCAAGGCTGCAACCCACGCACTAGGATGCCCTCCTGGATCGCTGGCAGTGATTGATCAATGCGTGGTAGAGTCTGATCAGGGCCCCGTTCTGATCATGGCCCCTCTGTGCTGTGCATTTGCTGCCATGCTGCCGCCCTGCCAAGCGGTGCCGCCCACACATGTCACGATGGGAGAGATTCAGAAGCAGCCGGAGTTGGTCACAGGGGATCAATACTCATTCAGTTTCACGATGGATAGCAAGTCGCAAGCAGATAGTAAATCAGCGGCAAGCCCCGCAACTCATCCGCTGCAGCCGCTACCGAATACAACTGCATGCCGCCTGCACACCCTACTGCCGGCTGAACACCAGCATGCACTCCCGGCCACCGCGGCCGGCATGCGACCGCTCAGGGGGGACCGGTTCCTCCCTCTCGCACACAAAGCCTGCAAGGAGGGCGGCCGATGCGAGTCAACAGATAGCAACAGCCAGTCAAATCAGCACAGGGAGCACATAATGCGTTACGTGACAGGCATGCAGGCAGGCAGCTAGCTACTGGTTTCGGAGACACATGCCAGAACAACAGCAGGACCCCACCCTGGCAATGCAAGCAAGCTAGTTCTTGCTTTACCAGACGTTAAGCCCACACAAGCAACAAGCAAAGGCAAGCCCGCTCACCGTGCGGCCGCAGCAGGTCCTTGTACTGCTGCACCGTCACCGCCCACGGCGGCCCCGTCTCGCTGTCGCTGTTCAGCGGGAAGGCCAGGCATACGAGCTGCGATCCGGGCTGGGCCAGGTAGCGCGCCCAGGCGGCCGCCCAGTCCGGCCGCATGGTGGGGTGCAAAGCGCACATGAAGGTGTAATCGTAGCCAACGTCCCAGCTGGGCACCGACTCGTGCTGCCACTTGAAGAAGTCGCCCACAAAGACCTGCAGGGCAGGGGGGCGTGGGTGTGTGCGGTTGTGTGTGTTTGGAGGAGGGGCTGGCATGGATAGGTCGCAGCCTTGCCCTCTCCAAGAGCAGCCGCCTCGCCAATGCTGAGCCCACAGCCCACCCGCCCACCTGCGCCCTGGCCCCGCCCTCCTCGCTCAGCTGCCCTGCAACATAATTGGCTGCCTCCTGCTGCGCTTGAGGGACCAGCTCCAGCCCTGCCGTGTACTGGGCCCCGCTGCGGGCAAACTCAACCACATCGTAGCCCCGCCCGCAGCCGGGGACGAGCACCCGCTTGCCAGCCACGCTGACGTCGCCGCTGGCAAGAGCGTGGGCGAGGGCGGGGGAAGCCTGGCTGCCATCAAAGGCCTGCAGGTTGCAGGCAGCAGAACACAGTGACGTCAGTTGAAATGCATCACGAGCAGCAGCTCATGCAAAAACACTACGATGGCGCCGTGGCGGTACTGATGTTCTCCAGTGCCGCCGGCTGTTGCTGGTGCCTACTCGCCTCGCCTGGCTTCAGACCGCCGTCTTTGCCCCAGAACTTCCGTTCCCAAATGCTCGAGTATTCATCCGGGCAGACCGAGTGTCCCGTTTCCATGCTTGCTGCATGTGCGCGAGGGTTGATGTAAATCGGGGGGAAGCACCGCAGACTACGCCTGGCCACGGCGGCGGCGGCGGTAGGTTGAAGCGGCCTTTCTGTGGCTCGGTCACCTACGACGAACGGCCATGGTTTCACCTGACGGACGAGATGGGTGGCTGGCGGCCGCCGCTGGCACCCTTGCTGGGGGAACGGACGGGTGGCCCAGTGGTCGGAGAGAAAATGCAATGCGAGACACAGAAGCGCAGCGCATGCAGAAACGATGAGTTATCTGCAGAGGGACATTTTACTGCAAGGAAAAGGGGGGCCGCCGCCTCTTACGCAAATCATGCAAGTCATGAGGTGAGCCGCCGCGCCAGCTGGCGGCGGCTACAGGTGGCGGGCACCCGCTGGTGACGCATCTGCTTATGGCCTGCCCCCGCGCCACGCTACTTGTGACCCTTGAAGGGAGCCCTAGTAAACCAGCAGGGAGGGGTGTTCCATTGTGCAAAGAAGCCGCGGAGGCGCATGGAATGTGAAGGGCTGAACAACTGACCGGTGCACGCGACAAACTGCAATCGGGGAGGTTCAGGCTGAGCCGTGCGCTTGATGGGTCAGTGCGCCAGCTGGAGGTCCGAGGTCAGCTGGCATAGCGCTTCTGCACACTGCTCCGGCAGCGCCTGCAGCAGCGCCGCCGCAGCCTGAGGCACCGCCAGCTGCGCATCGCCACCGGCCGCCGCCAGTCTGCGTGCTGCCGCCAGCGCCCCGGCGGCCGCGGCGCCGCCGGCCGAGCAGCTGCACAGCAGCTGCTGCAGCACTCGACTGCCGCTGTCCAGCACTTGCAGCAGGCGAGGCGTGCTGCAGGCCTGCATCGCAAGCCAGGCAGCTGCTGTGTGCTGCCGTGCCGCCGTCAGCACAGCGGCGGCGGCCGCCGCCACCGCCATCCGCAGCGTCAGGCTGCTGCCGCCGAGGGAGACGCCATAGCTGGGCTCCCGCTGCTGCTGCAGCAGGGCTGCCCCCACCAGCAGCTTGAACTGCTGCTGCTGCCTGCCGCCAACCAGATCCACAAGCAGCCCGGGCTGCCGCTGCACCAGCAGCAGGAGCAGCGGGGCCAGTGCCGGCAGCGCGGCCGCCAGGTCTGCGGCCGTGCTGCCTGCAGACGCGCACGCCTGCACCAACAGCTGCCAGCGCTCGAGCTGCAGGCGCGTGTAGGGCAGCAGCAGCGCGAGCGCAGCCGCCGCTGCCACGCCCTGCGCTGCATCCGCAGCCTCCAGCAGCGCTGCCGCCTCCGCCTCGCTCACGAGCGCCCGCGGCATGCCCGCCGCCTGCAGACCACCTCCTTGCTCCTGCTCCTGCTGCCCCTGCTGGCGCTGCTGGCGCTGTGCCTGCTGCGCGCTGTGGTCATCTAAAGCCGCCAGCACGCCCGCCAGGTCGCCCAGCGGCAGCAGCATGCGCAGGCAGGTGGACCAGACGCGGTGCAGCGGCACCACCGCTGCTCCCGCGCTGGCGGCTGCCCCAGGCGAGGCCGCAGGGCTGCTGCTCCCGCTCTCCCCTGCTCCCTCTGCCGCCGCTGCCGCCTCGCTGCGTGCCGCCGCTGCAGCGGGGAAGGCGCCGTCGAGCACCTCGGCCAGCAGGCGCAGCAGCAGCCTGAGCTGCTGCGCCTCCTCGGCCGCCGCCGCCAGCCGCAGCAGCGCCGCCTCGGCCGACTCGGCGCTGCCAAAGTCGGCGGCAGACAGGCGGCACTCCTGCATCGCCGCCTGCCACTCCAGGGCCAGCGCCGCCGCGGTGCGAGTGAACAACAGGACCTGCCGGTGGCTGAAGCCGCCGCCAGCGCCGCCGCCCTCATCGCCACCCGGCCCGGCTTCGACGGCGGGCAGGTCGTGGGGCGCCCAGCCAGGCCACATGCCGCTGCTGCCCACGCTGCCCAGCAGCTCCAGCACCTGTTGCCGCCAGGGTCGGGGCACGCGCAGCCTCAGCGGCAGAGCACAGCAGGGCGAGCATGAACACAACTGAGGTGAGGCCAGGACAAACAACACGCCAGGGCACGCCAGCCAAGCCAGGCCAGGCCAGCCAGCAATCAGACCTGCACATGAGCCTCGCTCGCCGCAGCGCCCCCGCTGCCATCGTACGAAGCGGCCTTGCGCTGCAGCTGCTGCCACACCAGCAGGCGCATCGCGGCAACTGCCTGGGCCACGGCCGCAGCCGCAGCCGCAGGGCTGCCGCTGCCGCCCTCGTCCGCCTCCGAAGCAGCGGCAGAGTGCAGGGAGCGCAGCAGCGCAAACAGGTTTTGCACCGCATCTCCCGGGGACAGCTGCTGCTCTTGGGGGGTGCCGCTGCTTGGCAAGCCTGACATGGCCCCCAGGGCCGCCGCCACCTCCGCCGCTGCTGCCGCCGACGCAGCCTGCTGCGCTGCCGCCGCCGCTACGGGCTGCGCAAGCAGAGCATCGGCCTCGGGCGGCGCCTGGCTTGGCTGCTGCTGCAGGGCCTCCAGCACTGCAGCGACCCGCAGCACGGCAGGAGCTGGGGTGCCTGTAGTCAGCAGCTGCTGCAGGCAGCTGTCCAGTGCACTGCTTGGGCCCTCTTCGCCTCTGCTGCCGCCTTCGCTGCCGGGCGCTGCCGCTGCCACCAAAGCTGCGCGCTGCACGGCCTCGGCTGCCTCCCTGGCAGCAGCCAGCTGCGCGCGGGAAGCGTCAGGGCACGCTGCCGCTATGCACCCCTTGGCTGCCAGCAGGGCATGCTGCTGTCGCAGCTGCTCAATCTGCTGCTGCAGGTGTGGGTCGACCCCCGCTGTCCCTGCGGGCTCAGCCATGCTGCTGCCATCCAGAACCTGAAGCGCCGCCGCCAGCACCTGCGCTTGCTGCTGCTCCAGCAGGGCGACGGCCACCGGCTGCTCGCGGCCGGGCGGCAGCGGCAGAGGGCAGGGCCCGCCAGCGGCTGCAAAGGCCGCCGCCGCGGCTGCGTGCGCGGGCGACATGCGGCGCAGACACTCCAAGCTCTGCTGCACAGCTGCTGCATCCAGCCCGCCTGCATTGCACAACACCGGCAGCAGCATGTTGCAAATGAGGGGAAGATGCGGGGCGCGGAGCGCCATAGAGAGAAGCACCAGGCATAGAGAGGACTGCGTTGAGCAAACACAGCATATGAAGCAGGTCCTCTGGCGTCCCACCCACCTCTTGCGGCGCATTGCTGGGATGTGCTGCGGCAGAAGAGCGCCATGAACACGGTGCTGCCGCTGCTCGGGTAGCCGGCTCCGCAGCCACCGCTGCTGCCGCCGTCCGCTTCTGCTGCTGGTGCTGATTGTGCGGCGGCTGCCAAGCCATTACATTGCCGCGCCAGCATCTCAACTGCTGATGCCAGGTGTGCCGCATTACTGCCACTGGCGTACGCCAGCAGCTGCCAGTTGAGGGCTTGTGAGCTGACGGGCTGGCTGTGCTGGCCCCGGGGCTGCTGGCTGCTGCCCTCGCTGTCTGCGCTGCAGCCTGGGAGCGAGGCCGCCAGCTGCTGCACCACTGGATGCAGGAACAGCTTGGCATCTAAGCCTGGTGCAGCCTGCAGCAGCTGCTCTACAGCAGCGTGGCAGGCTGCCAGCACCGCCGCCGCTTGCTGCCACCGCTGCCCGCCACCGCCATCGGCCGCCGCGGCTGCCAGGGCGGCCGCGCTGCGGTGCGCCAGCTGCAGGCACAGGGCCAGGTGGCGGGGGCAGCTGCTGCTGCTGGCTCTCCACACGCTGCGCAGCAGCACGCCCAGCAGGGCGGCCGCCGGCTGCGCGCCCGCCAGGAGCACCTCCAGCGAGGCGTCCAGGAGCCACTCGGGTGTGACCCCCGCCTGCTGCGGGCCGGGGTGCAGCACCGCCAGCGACGCCTCCAGCAGCTGCTGCATGGTCACGCCGGGCTGCTGCTGCTCCCACAGCCGCTGGTTGTGCACCAGAAGCGACTCTGCAAACGCCAGGTGCACCTCCCAGGCGGGCACCTCACACTTGGCAGCCAGCAGCAGCGCCTGCTGCATCGTGCCGGCGGCAGCGGCGGCGTCCAGCTGCCACCGTGCCGCGCCGCCGGCGTTGCTGGAGGAAGCAGCAAGAGCCGTGGCCGCGGGCTTGGGCTCATCCTCCGGACCCGGCGAACCCCATGCCTCGGATTTCTTGCGGCTGGGCATGCGCCGCACCGCAGCACTGCTGCTGCAGCTGGGGCTGGGCGTGCCCCACGCCGTGCTCTGCCTCCTGGCCGGCGAGGGCAGGGCTGCGGGGCTGGGGCTGGGGCTGGGGCTGGGCGGGACGCCGGCGCCCGCCGCACGCAGGGACGGGGGCATGCCGGCCGCTGCCGCCAGCTGCAGCACCAGCCGCCGCCGGCTGGCGGGTCCGCCCGACAGCGAGGCCGCAGCGTCGACCCCAGGCAGCAGCCCCTGCAGCTGCTGGGCAGCTGCCGCGGAGTCGAGGAGGTCTCGAAACCGCTCGGCGGCCGCGGCTGCTGCTGCCGTTGCCATATAGGCTGGGCTGATGGCTGCGATGCCGGCCCCCTTGGGTGGAGGCGTGGCCGAGGCCTCCGAGCTGCTGGCGGCCTCCCCCGCCTCTGAGGCCGTCTCCGACCGTGCCAGCCCCTGCTCGCCGTCGCTGCTGGCGGACTGCTGCAGCAGCTGCTGCTGCTGCTTGTCGCCGGCAAGCCCCGGCACTGCTGCCGTGGCTGCTTGCTGCTGCTCCTGCTGCTGCTGCTGTTTCTGTTGCACGAGGCGGAGCAGCTCTGCCGGCGAGGCCTCCAGGCGCGCCTCGGCAGCATCCAGAGCAGGGTCCAGGGCAGACAGATCGAGGTCAGCAGGCTGCAGCGCCTGCAGGCCCGCCGCAGTGAGGCCCAGCAGCAGCGCGCGCCTCCGCTGCTGGTGTGCCAGCGGGCGCTGCGCCTCCTCCTGCAGCAGGCGCTCCCACAGGGCCAGCCCCCGCGGGCCCAGCGCCTGCAGGCAGCCCAGGGCGGCGGCGGCGTCATCCCAGCCGGCGCTCCCGCTCCCGACGCCCACGCTGCCAAGGCGCAGGAAGTGCTGCTTCAGCTGCTGGGCCAGCCACAGCTGCTGGCCCCGCTGCGCCTCCTGCAGGCCGCTGGGCCCACCACCTGCAGCAGGCGTTGCTATGGGAGCCAGCTCCCAGCCGCCGCCGCCGTTACCGCTACCGCCGCTGCCGCTGTCTGCTGCCTCCCACTGCTCCAGCAGCGAGAACAGCTGCTCGGCGGGCGCAGAGGCCAGAGCAAAGACGAGCAGGCGCAGCTGTGTGCTGCCGGCGCAACCGCGCTCCGCAGCCACAGCGGCCGCCAACTGCCAGGCAGGCCTGCAGGGAGGGATGCACCCGACGGGGGCAAACGACTAAGAACTATGGGGCAAACAGATGAGTGGTTTGAGGCGGTGCGCAGGCAACAGCAGCGCCAGCAGCAGGAAGCATAGCATCGTGCGGGCTCGCCTGTACTGCATCATAGCATCGTGTGGGCTCACCTGTACTGCATTGCGGCCAGCTGGAGCAGCAGGCCCCGCGTGCGCGCTCGGTTCCCCGAGGCGTGTGCCGCCTCTGCCGCCCGCAGCAGCAGCGGCTCCGGCTGCTGCCTGATGCCCAGGGCCGCCGCCACCTGCATCAGCTTCGCGCTGTCGGCTGCCGCCAGCTGGGGGTGGTCGCCAACCAGCTGCAGGCCATGGCATGAGGGGGAGGATGGCACGACAGACGGCGGGGATTCGCGAAGACACAAACAGCAGTTGCAAATTGTAGCGAGGGGCCTTCTAGCGGGGGACCTTGCACAGCGGTGAGCTGGCTGTGACGTGTGGGCAGCAGCAGCAGCAGCACAACTTGCCTGCTCTAGCACCTTGCCCCCGCCGCTGGCCGCCTGCTCGCGCAGCTGCTGCAGCTGCAGGGGCGGCAGGTCCAGCCCCAGCTGCTTCAGCTGCTCCCCCGCCGCAATGGCCCCCAGCTGCTCTTGACCAGCAGCCGAGTCGGGCAGCAGGGCGAGGCACTCTTTGGCCTGCAGCACAAGGGGCAGCAACAACCGGTCGTGGCACATTCTACTGCTGTGAGGCTCGGCGTGCTGTTCTGTGCCGCTTCTTTTGGCACGTCTGGTGGCGCAGCAAGCATGCAAAATGCCACATTCAGGGGCGCCAGGTGCAAGCGCGGGAGGCAGCACACCTGCTTCACCGCCTTGTCAGCCAAGCTGGAGGCTGAGAGGAAGACCTCCTTGGCAGCGGCCAGCACCACCTGCTCGGCAGCTTCCGCGGGCAGGCCCTGCAGGTACGTCTTGCACAAGCGGTACTGCCCTACCCTGCAGTACAAGGAGCAACACGGGTCGCCAGGGGGTGGGAAGGTACCGAGCCTGTCCAGCAGCGTCGCTCCTTGTGCATGGGCCGAGATACTGAGCGCCACACATAGCCGGCAGCGCAGCACAGTAGCACACCTGAGCAGCGCTCGGCAGAACTCTGTGCGGACAACCTCCTCGCTCAGCTGCAGGCACGGCGCGAGATGGGGCAGCCAGCCACTACGGCGATTGAAAACGCCACAGCATTCAGTTTTGATCACATTAGCAGAGGGCGAATCGACAGATCGACGTTTAGGGCACTCTGCAGCAAACCAACAGGCCCAGGCTGCCGCACCTGCGTGAAGCCATGCTCCTGGATGGTGCGGAGGTCCATCCACATGTCCACCCACCTGCACAGCCAGCCAGCACCGCCATTAACTGCAATTCAACCGCCGCGCCGGTGCCCACAACACAATGTGGGAGAGAACGACAGGAGGCTCAACACAAGGGCCCACCAGGGCAGAATCCCACAGCCCGCCCCACTCACCGCGACTCTGTGTTTTTGGTGCGCGACACGCGGGCCAGCAGGGTGCGCAGCAGGCGCAGCGCGGCGCCTCGGTCGGCGTCGCGCACCATGCTGCGGGGCAGATGAGGTTCAGCGGAAAGCACAGGGTGGCGCCTGGTGGCCATGGGAGCATCTTGCCAGGCAGGGCAGCAGCGATCGGTGGGTGGCAAACCCTGGCAGCCTGGCAGCAGCAGGCAGGCAGGGAGCACCTGACAGGCGTGGTCAGGCCATGCTTGGTGAGCAGGCGGGCGGTGGTGACGTGGCCCCGCACCTGCAGCACACACGTTGAGACCTCATAGCTTGCGGCAGGCTTGTGCTACCAGAGGCAGCGTTCCGCAGCAGCAGGGGCAGGAGGTGAGAGGGGATCCACGTCTGCCCATGCTGCTCCCCATGCGCGTCACTCACCAGCTCCAAAGCCTCCTCAGCCGCCTCCTGCTCCTCCTCTTCCAGCTCCTCATCGCCCCGCACAGCCTCCCGAGCAGCTTTCAGCATTGAGCTCATCAGCTCCCAGGCATCACTGGCCTGCAACACCGTGGCAGCAGTGCGGTTTGGGAGTGCAGCGCATGTGCCAGCAGCGTGCATAGGCAGCAACCGCGATTTCATTCATGCAGCAAAGGCCAGGGCGGCGGCCCGCGCACCGTGCACGCGTAGCAGCAGGCGGCGGCGGTCTTGGCCAGCTGCGCGGCGGAGGCAAAGGCGGCGCGCTGCCGGGCCTCGCACTGGATTACGCGTACGGTCCAGGACAGCCGCCGCGCAGCTTCTCCCTCCAGCGCCTGCCGCAGCACCACCTGCGGGTCAGCTGCCTCATCACTACTGCCCCCGCTGTGCAGCCTGGCCAGGAAGGGCACCACATGGAGCGACAGGTCAGATGCCAGGGTGTCTCCGGAGCCCAGCAGGCCCAGCAGCAGCGCCAGCCGCTGCTGCGGCCCCAGGGCCCCATACTGACGCAGGCCTGTGCGCCACGTGCTGCTGCTGCTGCTGCCGCCCTCCTGCCGCGATGCCGCTGCACAGGTGGCGGGCGGGCAGGGACAGCCACAGTCAGGGCGACAGCCAGCAGGCGGGCATGCGAGGATGGGCACAGTCGAAACACGCATCCAAATTGCATTGGCGGCAAACGATAGCAGAGCAGAGCGCCAGTGTTCCCTCCTTCACAATGTGCATTGATTGTTGGCCAAACAACACAGCCGCCAACCCACCCAGCTTGACGAGCGACAGCAGCTCCTGGACCGCCGCCAGCAGGGAGGCGATGCCCGCCTCCCCAAAGTGAAGCGCTGCCTGGGCCGCCTCTAGTAGGGTCGCCGCATGCGGCAGCTGCCCTGCACATGGCAGACACCCATGGCACGTTTGTGGCAGCAGCAACAGCTGTGTCTGCTAGCAGCCAACACACCATGCAGCACGCCGCCGCACCTGTCACAGCATCCAGCTGCTGCGCCCGCTCGCACGCCCAGTTGGCCAGCTGGCGCTGCGTGGGCGGGTGCCAGCCGCCGCCAGCGGCGCACATGGGTTCCGTGGCCAGCAGCAGGGCATACTGGCTGTGCTCACGCAGCTCGGCAGCGGTTTCCGCGCTTTCCACGCTGTCTGCAGGGCGTGCCAGGGCGGGCGGCTGTTGCAGCGACGCGACCTGCAGGCAGGGTACAAGGGGCTGGACCGAGATGTGGAGCCTGCCTGCTCACGCTTGGGGTTGAACAACGACAGCAAGCCTCCCTCCACCGCCGCTGATGGGCGCGGGCAGGTGCCCACGGCAGGCGCCAGCACATTCAAGCACTGGACTGGCAGCTGGTGCTGCTGGGCACCAATGAGGCTCCTGATCACGGTGTAATGGTGAGTGACTACCCACCTGGCGCAGCAGCGGTGCGTACTGCTTGGGATCGAGCGTCTCGGGGATGGCGGTCAGCACCTCGAGCACTGACGGCAGCAGAGCGCGCGGGTGGCGCTGCAGCAGCAGCGGCAGCGCGGCCAGCCGCCCAGCCGACGCCAGCGCCGCCGCAGCCTCCGCTATGGTACAGTCGCGCAGGCTGGCGAAGGCGGCGGGGTTCCAGGCACTGCAAAACCACAACGGCACCAAGCAGGAGTGAGGAAGTGCACCGTTGCTGCCACACGAAGCTCAGCTACTGGTTGCCGGTGCATGCATGCACTGCTGGGACATGCGCAGCCGCTCACTCGTTGTTCAGTGCCAGCACAGTGTCCAGGCGGTCCAGATGCTGCAGGAGGCGGAGACGGGCTGCCCGAAACCAGCGTGGGCGATCGGTGTCCAGGCCAGCGCCGCCTGGCGGGGGACTGCCCCTGCTGTCGCCTGGCGGGCCTGGCGGGCCTGTGGGCGCCTCATCCAGGCGCAGCGCCTGCCCAGTGAGCTGCAGGCCGCGCTGCAGCAGCTCGCGCTGTTCCGAGGCGCTGGGCTCCACCCGCTCCAGGCACTGCTCGACCTGCTGCTGCAGCTGATCGACATCCCCATCCCGCTGACCATGCCCGGCAGGATCCATAGCGCCCAACGAGACGAGAGCGGCAGGCACCCCCGCCATCAGGGTCGGGGCGGCAGCATTGCGGCCCGCCTGCCCCTCCTCATTCTTATGTGCATCAACGTGCCTTGAAGATGAGGGGAGGGAGGCTTTTAAGAGCATTCATGCCACGTGGCTGAGTTCCACCCTGGCCGGATTTCAAATGCAGGGCTCTTCCTGACCGCTCCCGCACCCACTGCCGCCACTGCAGATTGGTCCGATCAGCTGCAGCCCGTCAAACGAGGTGGAGGCGCTGTTGGGCTCGGGCTGCAAATATGTCTGGCTTCGATGGTGCGCGCTGCAGGCTGCCAGGCCCAGCCCAGTATTCACGCGCTTCTACATGGCATGTGTGCGGCACCATGGGGCCATGGGAGCTCGCACGCAGCCTGCGATCAGTCTGGCCTCACTTGGTGGGGGCCGCCTGCGCCCTGCCTGACGCCGCCGCGTGGCCCTGCGCCGCCTGCAGAGGGAGGCGTGTACTACAGCGACCAGCAGTTTGTGTCGGCGGGCGCGGCAGCGGACGAGGCGGCGCTGCCCAGCCGCGCCCAAGCGCTGAGCAAGTTTGGAGAGTTCATCCGCACCTTCCAGATCGACCCCAAGAGCGGCGCCTTCCCCTATGCGTGAGTGGTTGCCCAGCAGCTTTCATCCGGCACGGCTGCACGGGGCTGGGCAGCAAGGTGGTGGCCAGGCGGCACCCAAGCACCTGATGCAGGCCTCCCAACCTTCTCCCCGCCTTGCCCCGCCTCAGCTGGCCCCTCCCCGCCTGCGCCACCCCGCCCGCAGCGACCAGCTGGCGCGGAGGAAGGACAGCTTGCGGGTAGACATCGGCCACCTCAGCCACCCGGTGTATGGCGCACCCGAGCTGGCCACCGCCCTTGTGGACAACCCGGCTGAGTACCTTCCCATCGTGAGCAGCAGCAGTAACAGCAGCAGCAGCAGCAGCAGCAGCAGCAGCAGCAGCCCCCAGCGCCTAGCCTGGTGGCCTGGTGGCCCTTCACCAGCTGACCCTTATGGCACAGCAGCCGGTCGTGCCAGCATGCTGCTGCACCGGCAGAGCCGGCACGGGCAGCATGCAGAGCGATGCTGCAAGCCTTGCAAACCTGCGGCTCCGCCTTTGCTGCCCTGCCTGCCTGGCTGCGTGGCTGAGCCACCCCTGCCGCCTCGCTGCGCCCGCCTGGCCGCTCGGCGCCTGCCTGCCTGCAGTTTGAGCAGGCTGCCAGGCAGGAGAGCCAGCGCATCCAAAACTTGATGGAGGATGGCAGCGACCCAGAGGTCAAGGAGGTGCAGGCAAGTGCCCGGCACACACGAGCTGCTGTATCCACCTTACAGAGGGCTTTTGTGCATGGCGCAGCTGGGGAGGCAGGGCAGCACGCAGCGGGTCAGGATCGAGCGCTGCCGCGGGGAGCCTGCACGGTAGCCTGCTTGGGCTGACCGTGCCCTGTGCCGTGACCCGCCCACCGCCGCCACGCCCGCCGACCTCGCACCTGCCGTGCTGCGATGCCGCCACCCTGCTGTGCAGGTGATGCTGTTCAAGAGCGAGACGAGCAGGAGCAGGGTGCCGCACGTGTCGATGCGCGACATCAAGGTGCGTCGATGCTGAGGTGGCGCCAGGCTGGCAGGCGCCGCCGCAACACGTCAACATCTCGGCTGGCCTGCACGAGTCCCCATGCCTGCCCCTGCCCCTGGGCCTCGCTTCCTCGCAGCCCGAAGCGTATGTCAGCAAGCTGGTGATCGTGCCGGGCATCATCACCGCCGCCTCCCGACCCAAGCACAAGGCCACCTACCTCACAATCCAGTGCAAGGAGTGCAAGTGCGTGCCGCACTGTGCCGCGCTGCTGCACAGCACTGCTGCCCATCCTATGAATTGCGCAGCTGCGAAGGCCTGCCGAGCGCAGCTCTGCCTGCCACCTCCCTCACCTCACCGCCGTGTCCTGCTTCCCACCCACAGGGCCACAAAGCGCATCGCGTGCCGGCCGGGCGTGGGCGGGGCCATGATCCCCCGCATGTGCGACGCCGCCGCGCTGCCGGGGCAGTCCAACCAGTGCGGTACCGACCCGTACATCGTGCTGGCGGACAAGTCTGAGTGCGTGGACCAGCAGACGCTGAAGATGCAGGTGCGGTGGCGGTACTGCAGGCAGTACAGTACAGGAGGTGCAAGAAAGCGTCAAGCAGCCCGTGTGGGATCGACGGAGGCAGGCTGGGCTGGATGACCGGATGGATGGCTGGGCGGCCTTGGGCTGTGGCAGGCGCTGCGCCTCACAGCCTCCCCGCACACAACCGCGCCATCACTCTGCTGCCGCCGCCCCTGGGCCCCTGCTGCTGGGCTGCAGGAGCGGCCAGAGGATGTGCCCACCGGCGACCTGCCGCGCAGCATGATGTGCCTGGTGGACCGCCGGCTGGTGGGCTCGGTCAGCCCCGGCACACGCGTCACTGCCGTGGGCATCCTTTCCATCTTCCAGGGGAAGGACGGCGGTGAGTTGGTGTGCGTGTGCGGGGGTGCTTGTTTGGCAGCGCAGGCCGCTGTTGGTGCGTGCTCGTGCTGTGGCCTGGGGGTTGGTGCGGTGGCGTGGGGGTTGGTGGGTGTTTGTGCGGCAGCGTGGGGCTGGTGGGATGGCGCGGGATGGCGCAACAGAGCTGCAAGGACGCTGGCAGGAGGAGGCGGACGGAAGCGGCCCGCTTCAGCGTCGCCGCCACTCCCTGCCGCCAGCGCCCCGCTCACCGCGCCGTGCCGCCTGCCCGCCCCGCGCCCACGCCTCTGGGCTGGCTTTGCAGGCGGCAACCAGCGGGACAAGGCGGGGGCGGTGGCCATCCGCCAGCCCTACCTCCGTGTGATCGGCTTCCAGGAGGACGTGCTGAATGGCGACACCGCGCGCCGCCCCACCTTCTCGTGAGCCTGCCTGCCCGAGGCTGCCCGCTCAGCGCAGCCCACTGCGACGCCGCACGGACATGCGTCACAGCCGGGCGGCTCCGCCGCGTGCCGCTGCGGCTGCCGCCAGCAATGCCACTGTGGCTGCCGCCAGCAGTTCCAGCCGCTCCGTGGCGCATGTCCCCATCCGGCTCGCCTCGCTGCCCACGCCGCCGCGGCCAGCCCCGCGAGCCTTTCCTTGCTTGCCTGCCACCGACCTGTGTGTGCCGCAGGCTGGAGGAGGAGGTCGAGTTCAAAGAGTTTGCTGCCCAGCCGGGAGCCATGGAGCGCATCTTTGCACGCATTGCGCCGCAGGTGGGCTGCGGTGTGGAAGTGGGCATGCTGGGTGGCATGCTGCGCATGTGCGTGTGTTTGGGCGCGGTGGTGGTGGTGGTGGCGGCGGTGGCGGTGTGTGGCACATGAGGGTGTGGTGGTGGGGGCATTACCCGCGTGCCCCGCCGCCGCTGGCCGGCCGCAGATCTTTGGCAGCCCCGACATCAAGAAGGCGATTGCTTCGCTGCTGTTTGGCGGCGCGCGCAAGCGCATGCCCGACGGCACCTACCGCCGCGGCGACATCAACGTGCTGCTGCTGGGTGCGGTATCGGCAGCGCCGCCATGCCTGGCCCGGCCTGGCTGCCTTTGCTGCCTTTGGCTAGGCGCCTTGAGCCCCTTGCCCTTTGGAGCGGGACCCCATGGCCCTGCCAGAACCCCTGCTCCTGCTCCCCCTCCCTCACCCAATGGCCCTCCCCCCTGCATGGCTGTGGTACCGGCAATGGTACCGGCGATTCTGCTCCCCGCAGGCGACCCCTCCACCGCCAAGTCCCAGTTCCTGAAATTCACCTCCAAGACCGCCCCCATCGCAGTCTACACCTCCGGCAAGGGCTCCTCCGCCGCAGGCCTCACCGCCTCTGTCATCCGGTGGGTTGGGGCGGGCATGGCAGAGCAGCAGCAGCAGAAAACGAAGCGAGTGGGCGGTGGGCGGATGCGTGGGCAGGTGGTTGGTGGGTGGCAGGCTGGGATGGGCAGCTCGGGGCGCTGCATGGACTTGTCGAAGCCTTTCCCTCCTCTTGCCTCGCACTCCTGCCTCGTCTTGCCTCCCCCTCCCGCCTCTCAACCCAACTCTCCTCCACCTCCCCTATAATGCCTGCTCCCCCACCCCCACCCCCACGCTGCCTGCACCCCAACCTCCACCTCCCCCATGCTGCCTGCACCCCCCCCCCCCCCCCCAAA